CAAGAAGATTGATTAACTTAATTTTGGTTTGGGGGGGTACCTGGAAATACTCTGAGCCTACTCTCAGACCAGTTTCCAGGGACAGTGCTGGTGGTACTTAGGGGGGTGGTCATGGTGCTGGGGATATTTGTCTCTTGCATGTAAATTGTATGTTCCAGCCCTTTGAACTGTCTTTCCAGCCCTCTCCTACAAATTTGGGAGTGCACCCAAGCAGTGCTCAGAAGAATTTGGGGACCACAAGTGGTCCCGGGTCAACTGGACCAGAGGATTAAGTATTGGGACCTGAGGCTATGCAGCTGTTCTGATCCTTCGGTGCCAAGAACCACTCAAGTTACATTCAGAGGCGATCTTGGCCTCAAAGGCCACACCTAGGGGTACTCAGGGCACTATATAATGGTGGGTTCAAATTCAAGTTCATACTCTGCTGACCACTGTGCTATCTCTCTTGGCAGGATTTTCTTTAAATATATATTAAAAATACTTTGTGTTGGAGGAAAACCTGAAAAAAAAATTCTACTGCTAGGAAACATCATCTGTCATTAGTTGCATATTCGATGTCAAGTTACTGAAAAAGTAATAGAAGAAGAAAAACCAATGGTGAGATCTGGATGGGTTATCATCACTTACATTTGGCTCTCTACTTGCTGCATAGATTTAAGCTTCATCATGTACAGCAACATTGAAATGGTTAAACTTGCAAAAGAAATCTGTGAAACATTATAAATTTAGCTTGTCTCAGTTGGAGCAATTAAAGCCCTTAAAATTACAGTGGTATCTGAAATGGTGCAGAAAGTGCCAATGGTTTAAAATAATTCTTTTGAAACAAGCATGTTTAATGAAAGTCATTTCTGGAATATTAAACTTGTGAAACGGTTCCTAAGGAGACAATGGAAACGACCCCAAACTTCTGTCCAGTCCCCTACTCTGAATTTCCCGTTAAATGTTACAACGATACCCTGAATTTCACAGGGGCATTCCTCCAGAGATGGTTCTTTCAGTATTTCCTATCACAGGGAATGGCTGGTTTTAAATCTCTGATGAAAAGTGTGGGGAAGCCGTTAAGTGAAAGTAGAATGGCAGACGAGCATATGTGTGGAAAATGTGCATTAATCCTCACTATGTTACATAAGGAGCAGGAGGATGAAACACTCATCCTTTCAGATGAAACAGCCTTGGAATTAGGAAACTGTATGTGCATGTGTGTGTGTGTGCCTGTGTGTGTGTGTGTGTGTGTGTGTGTGTGTGTGTGTGTGCTTGTAGGTATTTGTGTTTGGGAGTCATCTGGATACTGGAAATTGACTAGGTAAAGAACACAAATGGGTTTTCAAGAAGATGGAAAGACAGATTCCTGTCTCCTGATTCACTTGGGGTCCTAGCTGTCACGCCCACAGTCTGCCTCTGGGCGCCATCTCAGAGCATGAACGGCCTTGATCCAGAGACACAGCAGTGAATCCCAGAAGACAACAGCTCACTGGAGATCTCTCTGGATCCTGTACCTAGCCAATTCCACCGGGGCACCTCAGATGGAGTGGGTGTGCCCTTTCCTCCCACTCCAGATGCAACCCTGGTGGCCATGAGCTTCCAGAAGTAAAACCCAGGTACGCGGGTTCCAGGACTAAGACTCTAGGCCACATGGCAATTGTGGAGATGGTCTGGTCCTTCCGGTCTCCCCACCCACTTGGGGTCCTGGTGTCATGCCCACAATTTACTTCCTAGGGTTATCTCAGTGCATCAGTGGCCTTGATCCAGACTCCCAAATGAATTGCAAAATGAATTAGCTCCCTATAGAGATCCCTCTGTACCCCAACCATTTACAATTTTAGAATTCCAGAAGCCTGCGGCTGCTTTTGTGGCCACATGACCTCTCATGATATTCATAATAAGCAACATAAAATAAATTATCTAGCATCTGCCCCCTGACAGGCAGGCTTGAATGGTGGTGGGAAAATTCAAAATAATGGTGCTGGGAAGGTTAATGGTGTGGGATTGGTGTTGAAACATTTTTATTTATTTATTTATTTATTTAAAATTTTTATTAGTGAAACACCATGAGGTACAGTTGTAGACTTACAAATTGTTGTGCTTGGGTTTCAGTTATACAATTATCAAGTACCCATCCCTCCACCAGTGCCCATTCTCCACCACCAATGATCCCAGTATCCCTCCTACCCCACTCCCCTATCCCCCTTCCTGGTGTTGAAATATTGAATGTAATCAATTAATGTGAACAACCTTATGAAAATAATTTTTTTTTGCTTTTTGGGTCACACCCGGCAATACACAGGGGTTCAGGAATTACTTCTGGTGGTGCTCGGGGGACCATATGGGATGCTGGGAATCGAATCCGGATCAGCCGCACACAAGGCAAATGCCCTACCCACTCTGCTATCATTCTAGCCCCTGAAAATAAATTTTTTTAAAAAGATGGAAAGGAAGGAGGGGAAGGGAGGCAGAGAAGTATAGTAGTGAAGAAAAGTAGCACTGCTAAGGACTGCAGTGGATGAGTAACAGAATCCAATGACTGAATTTCATTACCTTTGAGATGTGGTAAGACTAGAAATCAAATTACAATTGTTATTCAAAGGAGAGTGTGTGTGCACCCATGTGCATGTGTGTGCCTGTGTATGTGTATGCATGTTTTCACGCATGTGTGTACATTCTGGTCCTCCTCCTCCTCTTCCTCTTCTTCTTTCTCCTCCTCTTCTCCCACTTCCTCCTCCTCCTCCTCCTCTTCCTCCTTTTCTTGCTTTTTGGGCAATAACAGGCAGTGCTTAGGGAAAACTCCTCGCTCTGTGTTCAATGATCACTTTGGGGCTGCAGTGGGTCTTGGGGCAACCATATGTGCTCCAGGGATGAAATTTGTGTTGGCAGCATGCTAGGCAAGATCCTTATGCCTACTACACTATTGTTCTGGCCTGTCCTTGTTCTATTTTTCTAACCAGTTGTTCGACTTTGCTGAAGTCACTAACTCACTGGATCTCAATTTTCATTTTTAATCTTTACTACTAAAATAATTGAGAGGGGCCACCACTGGTGGCCAGATTTGGCCAGACACAGAACCCAGAGCACTGGCATGAGAGTTGGTGCTCTAGTCTTTACAGGCAGTTGCCTGGCCCCAGTTTCTTACATCTTGAAGAAGATTCCTTAATTAATTCATTTGGACTTTAAGATGTTGAAGGTGACATAGTCACTGAATGGAAGAGTAAATGAATAAAGCAATAATTTATTTCCTACCATTCTAGAATTTCCATAGATAAGTGGTTAATGCTGATTATTCACTTTAAGAAATCTTGTTATTGAAAGGAGGCTATCAGTAATGAATACGGTATTATCAAAAAATTCATGAATACAGTATTATAAAAAAAGTACAGACAACAGAGACAGGAATTATTTTCCCATTATAATCCTATAAAATAGTATTTTGTAACAATAAAAAATAAAAAGATGGAGAAAACAATTGACATTTTCCTGACACATCTTCCATTTGACCTCTTGTAAAGATCTATGACATGTAATTTTTGCAATGAAGGGTTTTTTTTAAAAAAAATCAGTTTTGGGGGACATTGGTGCTGGGAAATTACACTGGTGGAAGGACTGATGTTGAAACATTGTGTGACTGAAACTCAATCATGAACAGTTTTGTAATGTTCTATCTCATGATTATTCAATAAAATTAAAAAATAATATTAAAAAATAAATCAAAAGAAAAACAAAAAATTCAGATTTAAAAATTAGATCTTTTTTAGTTTATTTTAAAAATCGAGGCACTGTGATTTACAAAGTTATTCATAGTTGAGCTTCAGGCAGACAATTTTCCAACACCAATCCCATCACCAGTGTCAACTATCTTCCGACAATGTCCTCAATTTCCCTCATTCTACCTCCTAGAAAGGCACTTTGCTAAGTCTGGTTTTTGTAGTTAGGATTTTATGCTTTGTTTTGTTGGTTTTGTGTTTCAGATATCCAGATAAAACACATCACTTCCTCTCTGACAATATTAATAAACTTAGAATACTGGTAACACTGGAGTTCAACAGTATGTGAGAAGGGAAACATACTGGAAATAATGAGCTATCTCTAGTCCCTGTTTTCCTGTCCACTGCCAAAGTGTGTTGCTGTTGTTTAATTCAGCATACCTAAGAATTCCGCAGGCTACAGGACACCAGAGTTGACAAAACGGTTGTCTAAACTTCAAGTCCAGACTTCTAGTATCTGTGGTGAAGCATTTTGAAGGGTGGTGACAAATTCAAGGTCTGTTAATGGATTCTAAGACTTATTTATCAATATAAAATTATATTCTATATGGGTATGTCATTTCAAAAAAATTTTTTGGGGGGCACACCAGTAATATTCAGGGTTTACTCCTGGCTTTGTATTCAGGGTTCACTCCTGGCTTATTCGGGGACCCTTTGGGGTACTGGGTATCAAACCCAGATCAGCCATATGCAAGGCAAGTGCCCTATTCTCTGTACTATCTCTCCAGCCCTGTTTCTTAGAGAAGTTCATATTATCATCAAGTTACACTGAAAATATCCGCACTACCATGTTATGCTTACAAACTTAATGAATTTTCTGAGATGTTTACATTAACAAGGGTCTATGAGAAGGATTTTTCCCAGTGAAGAGCCCTTGCTTTATAAAACTGGATTCCAGAATTTTCTAATGGACAGTTATTCCAGGGCCAGGGAGGTGGCACAGGGGTAGAGCAACATGCCTTGCATGAATAAAAGGCCTTGGGCTTGATTCCTGGCAGAGAGTGAGAGTAGGAGCAAGATTGCGCATGTGCGTATCCCAAGAGAAGAGTGAAGAAGAGAAAAGAGTCAAACTACAAATGATATTCTGATCTGTTTTGAAGAAGGGATAGTCTTGTGAATTTACGGCACGCTGGATAAACTCTCCAATTTAGTGAGAAGGATTCAGCTATATTTCCTAAATCTGTCAGCTTAGCCAGGGGCAAATTCACACAGAAAAAAAAAAAGAAGAAATTTTAATACCCAGAATTCATCACAGTATATAAACAATTTAGAATTTTACTTTATTTCAGAATAAGATTATAGTCGAAAAGGTAGTTACTAAAAGCCACAACATTATTCATATAGATAAAACTTTTATAGCAAAACCTCAGTGCATGAGCGTTAGGAATTTGAACTACACGGATATCGAAGCTATTTTTACAAAAGGAAATTATGTCTTCCAAAGGCTGTAATAGGCACAATATATATGCTAGTGTTAGGTCTGCAAGCATTGTACGATATACTATAATTTATTACATATCATCTAAGAAGTTGCAAAATTTTCAGCTGTGCTGGGAAGATACAAAGAAATATGATGCTTACTCTGATATTGAAAAGCATGTGCTACCAATACGAAAAATAAGAGCAGCAAGCAAAGCCAACCAATCATTCTGAAGGTTTTTGAAGACATAATCCAGCTATGGCTTTTTTTAATGTTCATTTTTGAGACTATTAAGCATATCTGGCAAGAGTAAAGAAGAAAGTGGTCATGGCATGGGATGTAGTGCTGTGTGTACGCTCTGCATGTATGAGTCCTGGGATCCCTCTTTCCCACGCACTCACACACAAAAGCAGTCATCATGAAACATTAAAGACAGCATGTGCAGGACACTGGATATTTCATAGGGTCAAAACTGGAAAAAAAATTTGAGAGCAAAATTGTGAGGTATTACAGAGCAAAGAAACAAATAAAAACCTATTTCGTCACTCTCTTGGTATAATAATCTTTAAAGACAAAATGAAAGGTTTTTCGAGTGATACGGCAGAAAAAGGTGTAAATCATTGGGAGAGTTTACTTTCTGTTTACTAAAGGTTTTTCGAGTGATATGGCAGAAAAGGGTGTAAATCAATATAGTTTACTTTCTGTTTTAAGTATCTATAAAGCATACAGATCTTCCAAGGACCAAGAAATTGAATATGGTCCAATTAGTATGAGCTTTTTGGTAATTTTAAAACTAGGCTGAAATATGTGTTCATGCTGACAGTATACTCATGCTGATAAAGGTAAGCATGTAGGAAAAATAAGAAAGCAATCCTATTTTTCTGAGCATCTAACAGATACAGCATAGTAAAATGGTTAGAGGTCAAAATGCATAATGCAAATTCTTAAAGGCTTTAGTTTTTAACTAGCAACAAACCTAAGTGTCAAAGTGAACCATGCAATATGTTTACCTAGTGCTACCATGATAATAATAGGAAGGGAACAGGATTCCTCCTCTTCCCATTAATGCAATGCTCACAAGTCATCACGTGGAACTCAAATCAACACACACAAAAGCCAGTCGTGAAGCAATGTGAAATACTCCAAAAATGCCCATGAAAGCCTGCCAGAATGGATGTAGCTCGTATCAACAGAGTTGTTGGCGGTCAACAAGAAAGCTGTAGGTGTTACTGCGACTTCTAGGTCTTTAATGCTGCTTTTTGAAAGAATTTTGATGGGGAGGAAGAAGGGGGAGGTGGGAATTGTGTCAAGGGGTCCAGTCTCTCTGTAGGCTAGGCCATAATTTCTGCAGGTTCAGTGACCAGTTTGGATCCGTCCCACGCTGTCTTGAACTGTTCTGGAACGGGAAATTCTCTCTGGCAAAAAGGCAAGAAAGAACCAAGTTATTGAAACAAAGCCTTCTTTTTGCAAAGACAGAAGGCGGATTTATGTCACTGCATGATGGACAAAGACCCTCGATGCAGTCCAAACCTGTGTCCTGAAGGTCGTCAGCGTCCAGTTAGAATTTACCTGGGACCACATACATTTTCCCCCTGAAGCACTGAGGTATGGGAGTGTCTATAACAGCCGTTGGAGCTGACCCTCTGGAAAGGCCCTCCTCCAGGACACAGAGACCTGGGAGGTGAAGTGGCCAGTCCCCAGCGGCCTCACGTGGAAGTATCTCAGCCAGAATTCAAACCCAGACAAGTCTCACTTACCCACTAGTCTCCACCAAACCTGCACTGCAACATGGGACTTAGTCAATGCACACACACGCGCGAGCACACACACACACACACACACACACACACACACACACACACACACACCTTCCTCGCTGAAAGGTCTAGCTGTTTTATTTTTTTAAACATCCAAGTTTTATTTTATTTTATTTTTTTGCTTTTTTGGGTCACGCCCAGCGATGCTCAGGGGTTACTCCTGGCTCTGCACTCAAGAATTATTCCTGGTGGTGCTTGGGGGACCACATGAGATGCCAGGGATTAAACCAGGATGGGTTGTGTGCAAAGCAAATGCCCTCCCCACTGTGCTATCATCTGGCCCCTGGGTCCAACTGTTTGTTTTGGAAAAATATTTTTAAGGAAGACCCATTTTTAAGGAATGCATGATGATCTGTCCTGAGTTACATCAGTCCCAGAAAGTCTCCAAATTCTGAAGCCAAGAAGCCACAATTATCATGACCTGATGTATGTGTGTGGTCAGGATCTTTTCGGGGGGCTCTTCTGGATGAGTCAACAGGTTTGGGTTGACTACCCAATCCACTACCAGGTAGAGTGATGCAGTCTGAAGGCAAAGAACGCACTCTGCCAATGGACTTTCTCTGCTCCCTCACCTACACTCCATTGCTCTGTTGTTGTTGGGCCAAATCTGGCTGGAGCTCAGGGCTAATTCATGGCTCTGTGCTCAGGGACTCACTCCTGGGAGGCTCAGGGGACCATATGGGGTACTGGGATGGAACTTTTGCTGGCTGCGTGCAAGGCAAGTGCCCAATCTGCTGTACTATATTGCTCTGGCCTCCTAGCTGACTCATGGTAAGTCTGAGAACCCCCACACATGGGTATCTCCCTGCCTTCCCTTTCTTTCTTCTCCCAAGCCATTGCATCTTCATTTCTGTTAAAGGACAATATTTAAGAATGTGCAAAATAGGTAGCGAGTGAAGAGCCGAGCCAGTGTATTGATGAGTACTGACGGCAGGTTCTTCAGGTGTTCAGGTCTGACCTTGTCTGGGCCGGGTGCTGTTTGCTTCTTTACTGACGAAATGGCGTGTCGGATTTCGGAAGGGAGAACGTTGGGAACGACATACCCATCCTGTGGAATTTGGTATGTCGGCAAGTGGACATGGCTATCGAAGAGATTTGAGTAGAAGTCATGGATAATCTTCTCCATTGCCGTTCTGGAGGATGTGATGGATCCATCAGGACGTCGGAGGGCAGTCATCTTGGTCTTATAGTTGGCGAAGGACAGGCGGGCGTTACGAATACTTTTCCCGGCTTCTGCCGCATCTACCAGTACTTCTGCTCTTCTCTCTTTGAGGTCTTCCTTGATCGCATCTCTGCACTGCTTTGCAAGCTCGGACGTTAGCTTGCGGTTGCCTGAGGCATGCGCCAAACCACGCTGGCGAATTAGCTCAAGAGTTTTCGAAGATAGGCGACTTTTTGTGGCTATCTCTCTCTTGGCGTTCCTCGCACATTCATGGAGGTGCTGAACCAGTCGATCGTATTCCTCGTCAATGTTGTCAACAATGGCATCTTCCCATGTTGCCGCAATAGTACCAAAGAGTTCCCAGTTGGTGGTCGTTCTGGGAGTTCTCTTTTTGAACTTTGCAGCCCTTTCTCCCCGCTCTGTGAAGTAGAATTTTGCACGAAGGAGACGGTGGTCCGATCCCGTTCGAAATTTTGGGACAACAGCGACATCAGTCAGGCAAAACCGTCGATTGAATATGATGTGGTCTATTTCGTTGTGGAATCGTCCACCGGGAGACTCCCATGTCCATCGTTTAGATTCTGCCTTCTGGAACTGTGAGTTACCATGAATGGTCTTGGTCGACATGATGAACTCAGACAGTCTCTCACCCTGTTCGTTCCATTCTAGGCCATGGGTTCCGATGTGAAGTTCTTCAGCTGATCTTCTCGGTCCTATCTTGGCATTAAAATCACCCACAATGATCTTGTAGAAGGTGTGGTCTTCTTTATAGAATTTCTCTAGCTCCATGTAGAACTTCTCGATTTCTCTTTCATCATAATGAGATGTTGGTGCGTAGACAACGAAGATAGAAACTGCAGGCAGTGAGCCACATCTATTCAAATGTAAACGTCCGATTCGGGTTGTTAGGCATTCGAATGAATCAATGCTCTTGGCCAAGTTTGTGTTGATAAGGACACCGACGCCTCCAACACCTCTTTTATCGCATGTTCCGAGGAACAATTCTTCTCCAGTGTCGAAAACGGCATGGTGAGATTCGTGTCTTCTTGTCTCGGTCAGACCAATGATGTCATACTTGATCATTCGCGCTTGTACCATCAGGTCCTCGATGGATGCATCTGATGCTAGCGTACGTGCATTGAAAGTACAGACAATCATTTTTGTCTTCCTTCGTTGTGGCAGCCTAGGTCGGCCTTGAGATTTTGTCGGCCTCTCCTTTCTCATCCTTCTCAGTGCTGCCATGTCGGTGAAGCCTTCAGGGTCAGGTGAATGAGACCAGTTGTAGTTACTGGTTTTGGCATATCGAATACACAGCGGATAGCTTGCCAGGCTCAGTACTCATCAATACACTGGCTCGGCTCTTCACTCGCTACCTGTCTGAATGCAAGGTTCCATCTCAATGGAAAACCAGCAGGACCGTACTACTGTTCAAGAAGGGAGACATCCATGACATTGGCAACTATCGCCCGATCTGCCTATTGTCTGTCATCTACAAGTTGTTCACTCGAGTCATCCTGAATAGGATTGGCAGAACACTAGATGAAGGACAACCATGTGAGCAACCAGGGTTCCGCAAAGGATTCAGCACCATCGACCATATCCACACGATAACCAAACTCATTGAGGTTTCTCGGGAGTTCAAGATGCCGCTCTGCTTAACGTTCATTGATTTAAAGAAGGCCTTTGATTCTGTTGAGACGGAAGCGGTCATTGAAGCCCTAGCCAATCAGGGCATTCAAGCCCAATACATCAGGATCCTCCGTGAGTTGTATTGCGGATTCACTACCAGGATCTCACCATTCTACAAAGAAGTGATCGTTGATGTCAAGAGAGGAGTGCGGCAGGGTGATACCTTTTCACCAAAACTCTTCAGTGCCACCCTCGAGAACATCATGCGACGACTGGAATGGGAAGGAATGGGAGTGAAGATAGATGGTCGGCAACTACACCACCTCCGCTTTGCTGATGACATTGTTTTAATAACACCAAACATCAGCCAAGCGGCACAAATGCTGGCCGACTTTGACCGTGAGTGTGGAAAGGTAGGACTACAGCTGAATCTTACGAAGACAATGTTTATGAGAAACAGCCTTGTTCCTGACGCCCCATTCGCTCTCAATGGAACGACCATCTCCGAATGCAACAGCTATGTGTACCTAGGTCGAGAGGTCAACATGAGAAATGACCTGGCACCCGAGCTGCGCAGGAGGAAGAGAGCGGCTTGGAACGCCTTCAAGAACGTCGAAGAAATAGCTAAGAGGACGAAGAACCTCCGGCTCCGGGCACATCTCTTTGATTCCACTGTTCTTCCTGCATTAACATATGCCTCAGAGACCTGGGCCCTACGCAGACAAGATGAGAATGCTATTCAGGTCTCCCAAAGAAGAATAGAAAGAGCTATGCTTGGAATATCACGTTTCACTCAAATGAGAGAACGAATCCGGAGTTCTGACATCCGTCGACGATCAAGGATCAGGGATGCTGTCTCATTTGCCAAGGTGTCGAAAATCAGATGGGCTGGTCACGTAATGAGATTTAAAGACGACCGTTGGACTAGAGCTGTTACTGATTGGATTCCACGGGATGTCAAAAGACCGCGTGGCCGCCCACCTACCAGATGGTCAGACTTCTTTGTCAAGGTCATGAACGATCGGTTTGAGGCCCTCCATGTTCCCGGAGCGAACAGATGCCATTGGGCTACACTAGCACGTGACAGGGACAAATGGAGACGTTACTGGCGCCCGCTCGAGCAAATCGACGACTAACGGGAAGTTAAGTGATTAAGTGATTAAGTGCAAAATAGGGGCTGGAGGTATAGTACAGCCTGTTGGTGTTTGCCTTACAGGAGGCCAACCCGGGTTTGCTCCTTGGTGAGCTCCATATGGTCCTCAAGTAACACTGGGAATAATTCCTGAGTGCAAGTAACCCCTGAGCACCACTGGGTGAGGCTCCAAAATGAAAAAAAAAAGTAGACAAAATAATATGAATGCAGGTGCAGGGTAATTTGATATAAGCTAGCCCAGCAGGTAATTATCAGTCAACCGCCTGGAAATCACAAATGCAGGCTTGAGCTTCTAGGAGAGAAACTAAGAGGGGAGAAGATGTGTACTAGGTCCGTCTCTGAATTCTCTCCTGACTGGGCAGTGTATCGTCATCAGTGCGTGCAGGTTGGTAGTCGATGCAGCAATCCCTAAGACCGTCAATGACAAAGGCACAAGCCTCTTCTCTCTGGTCTTTGGAAGGTACTTACGTAGTCCCCGTCCTGAGGAATCAGGATGTTCATTTCTGATGACTTGGCACTCACAATCTCACAGTCCAGTGCCTCCTCGCTGAGGTATATGTGGCAGCCTTCCGTCTTATTAATGGAAATTGTGGGCACTCTCCCCATTACCTGCCATGGAGAAAAACAAACAAACAAACAAACAAACCAAAACTGGAGATTAAAACAAAGAGACAGGGGCCAGAGAGATAGTACAGCAGATAGGGTGTTTGCCTTGCTCACAGCCACCCCGTGCCTGATCCCTGGCATCCCACATGGTCCCCCCCTTTTTTTTTCTTTTTGGGTCACACCCGGCAATGCACAGGGGTCACTCCTGGCTCTGCGCTCAGGAACTACCCCTGGCGGTGCTCAGGGGACCATATGGGATGCTGGGAATCGAACCCCGGTTGGCCGCGTGCAAGGCAAACACCCTACCTGCTGTGCTATCGCTCCAGCCCTTCACATGGTCCCTTGAGCGATTAACTAAGTGCAAAGCTAGGAGTAAGCTCTGAGCATTGCCAGGTGTGACCCAAAATAAACCATCCCTCCCCCCAGTTGGATATTAACCGCACGTGCTTTTGGGTTTTATCAGTGAATTGCCCCTCCCCCCCAGAAGCTTGCAGTGCTCTTAGGAGCACCCCTTATCCCCTGAGTTTATCTTTAATCTTTCCTTTGTGCTTTACCTCTCATTGTTACAATTCCCCAAGTCAGGGTTGGTTATTTGTAAGTCAAAAACTCTGGACTTTGTATTTGTAGTAAAGTACTTGCTTTTTTTCCTATAGCCTTTTTATATTTTGCCATAGAGCAATGTTCTTTGCTTAGACACAGAAAGACCGTTAATGCTGTGCTCCTAATATTTAGGCATTGATTGACTCTGAGATAGATCTACTCCTGGGCATCTGTTGTAATTACTTGACTCAAGTGTCGGTTGCTGTAATTCCTAACACCCCCAAAAGCGAGGTCCCCCCGTGGACCTGGGATGGACCCAGGGTGAATGGTAAAGCTATCCCAGCATCAAAGTGGCACAGTCTAGAAAGCATAAAAGCACAGTCTTGATGCAAGCCATTATGACTTAAGAGACAGGACCCCCATGAAGGAGGACAAGCTGAACTGGCTTGAGGATTTACAGTAGAAAGCCTTGCTTGCCCTTGGAGGCTAAAAAACTAACTTTTGGGATCTATATCTCTTATTGTGTCTATCCAAATCACTGCAAGAATTAATAAGAAGTAAACTGGATTGTTTGGGCTAGGACGATAGCACAGCAGGTAGGGCTTTTGCCTTGCACACAGCCAACCCGGGTTCGATTCCTTCATCCCTCTCGGAGAGCCTGGCGAGCTACCGAGAGTATCCCACCTGCACGGCAAAGCCTGGCAAGCTCCCCATGGCATATTCAGTATTCCAAAAACAATGACAACAAGTCTCACAATGGAGATGTTACTGGTGCCTGCTTGAGCAACTCGATGAACAACGGGAAGACAGTGCTGCAGTACAGTGCTAAACTTGATTGTTTAATATTTACTAGTAGCAAGGGTAAAAGAAAAGCAATATAGATGTCTGGGAGACAGAGCATCTCCTTGAGTTCATCCCCAGAGAGAGTTGTCTCTGTTGAAAGGCTTTACCTCTGAAAATGATCAATCACACCTACGTGCAGTCCTATACCTCAACCCCCCTCAGATGTGCTACAAGTATGCTAACAGCTCTGCATTAAGCGGGTCACTCTCACCCTCAGTCTGTGGTCCCCCGTTTCTTTGTTCCTCTACTGGGGAGACCAGGGAGGTGGTTCTCGGCCACGAAATGCACACCCACATGTGAACTCACGCCCCCAAACCAAACCAAACCAAACCAAACCAAACCAAACCAAACCAAAGTAAAACCCCCCAAGAACAAGAGGCAGAAGTGACAAGAACTGAGGGTAAGTACAGCACAGAGTCTTCAGCATGTGCCGGGGGGAGAGGGGGGGTCTCTGGGTAGGGCAGGAGGCTGCTGTGAGGTGGCACCAATGCCCACTGCAGGTGCTGCAGCCTAGTGTCATGTGGGGACAGAATGAAAGCGACACACAAGGGGATTCGCTTTCTTTCCTGAGACAGACGAGAAGGATTAAAACAGCAGCTGAATGTCTCAGAAAAAGTCTCCCAAGCTTGCGGGTGGATTTGAAACATCTATTTGATTTCCTGATAAAAGAAACAAGATGCATTTACCTTTTTTATTTGCTTGAAATTTTAGTTTTGACGAATCTCTATGAAACCTAGACTAAAACAAACACGAATATTGTCCTCGCAGAGTAAAATTATTCTGTAACAAAGTGGATTTTTCCCCCCTCCTCAAGCCTAAATATGAATAAAGAGAAGCCCAGTGATTCTTTTCACATAAGTCCTTGGCTGGATAAACATCTCCCTTGGCTGAATGCGAAGCTTAAATGAGATCATGAGGGGCGGCATTCTGAAATGTATTAATTTCAGGAGCCTAAACCAGAGATGAGATTCAGGCGTCTCATTGTATAGGTACATAAGAGCATACAAAAGAACCCAGAGTTGGTATTGTTACCCAAATCCAAGAGTTGTAAAAATACTGATCAGTTTTAAATTTCTTCTTAAGCAGTTTTCAGACCCTCCTCCTCTCACCTCTATGTGGGCAGATTACTCCCCCAGTGGCCATATTACAACTCTATAATTTTCCTTCTTGTCATGGTAATTGGAGCGATAAAGGAAGCTCCTCTTTCACTCCCAGAAAGGCCTGGCTTGCCCCGTGAAGGAACCACTCCTGGAGATGGTGCAGGTGATAGGAATAATTCCACAGGGGGACGTCTAGCCAGGTCACCACATTTCTGCTTGCTTCTCTCTCCCTAGAAACTGGACACGGAGTTGGAAATGAGCCGAGGCAAAAAAAAAAAAAAGTCAGAGGTAGTTCAAGGTCAGGTCCAGACAGGATGCTGCCATAAATCAAATGATACCTCTAACTATAATGTCAAGAATGTGTCAGTGGAGATGATGCTTCTGTGGTATCTGGATTTGTTTCTTTTTCTTTTCTTTTTTCTTTTTTTGCTTTTCGGGTCACACCCAGCAATGCTCAGGGGTCACTCCTGGCGGTGCTTGGGGGAAATTATGGGATGCCAGGGATCAAACCCAGGTCAGCTGTGTGCAAGGTAAACACCCTACCCACTGTATTATCGCTTTGGCCCTGAATTTGTTTCTTTGATGACCAGACCTGTTTGAAGGCCAGACAAGAAAAGATAAAGTGGGGGAATTATCAGAGAGTCTTAGGGGCCTCCTTGGAGAGACCCGGTGGGGCCACAGGTGGCCTGCCCCGTTAGGGTTATACATCTGATTTCTATGGCTTTAAAAATGCAGAAACAAGCAAGCAAACAAAGCCGAAATGCCTTATGTAGCTGAAAAGCCAGTTGCAATGTGGTAAGTCTTGTCATTTCCATTTGTTTTGCAGTGTTTTGGTAAATACTGTAGGCAATGGACATGCTTTTCCCTGTCTGCCAACACTTTGATTTTTGAATTTGCTTTTCCCTCCATGAATCTGGAAAGCAATTTACAATTACTTGTTCTTTTCCCTTGCACCCATTCTTTATTCCTTTTTTTTTTTTTGTGGTGCTGGGTATCAGCCCCAGGGCCTCATACATGTGTAGGAAGTGCTCTTCTGCAGAGCTCCACCCCCAAACCCTGCAGGCCTTAGAGAACCTGGATGGTCTCTCTGCTAGGAGACAGACATGGGACATGCTCAGGTCAAAACTCTCGCCTATGATGAAGGCTTTTGGATTAATCTTGCTGGCCCTAAATGAACTTCTCCATAAAAATTAAAAAAATAAAAATTCTCCATAAAATATCTTAATCTCATCTCTCTCCCCCATAATTCACTGTAGCACGGTAGCACTGTCCTCCCATTGTTCACTGATTTGCTCAAGCGGGCACCAGTAACGTCTCACGACAAATTGTGAGACTTGTTGTTACTGTTTACGTCACGGGGAGCTTGCCAGGTTTTGCAGTGCGGACGAGATACTCTCGGTAGCTTGCCAGGCTCTCAGAGAGAGGAGGAATCAAACCCGGTCGGCCATGTCAGCTACGTGCAAGGCAAATGCCTTACCTGCTGTGCTATCGTTTTTTTTTTTTTCTAGAAAAGTTTTACTTGTACTTATTTTCCTCCCTCCTAGGACAGTTCACAAACAGAACCTCAGAACCGCATCCTATGAACTTCTGTTCCTGCCCCTTTTCCTCCATCCAATCTTCATTAGGTGTTGTTTGTGCTCTTGAGACAGCCTGGCAGTGCTCAGGGGTGCTCTGGCCCTTTAAGCTATCTCCCTGGCCCCCATGCAATCCCAGAACAGTTTTACTGTCTCTGAATCACAATGCCAAGTTTCTGTCCCGCTTGTCCAGATAACCAGGGTTTATCCTTCCAGATTATTTTTAGAATGCCTGCCCAAACCCTTAAAAATTAAGATACATTTTTGTTTTTAAATTTTTGATTTTTGAGACACACCCAGAAGTACTTAGGGCTTACTCCTGACTCTGTGCTCAAGGATCACTCCTGGTAGGGACTGGAGACCATATGGGGGTGAAGGGGAACAAACCTGGGTGGGCTTGTGTCAAGGCAATGCCTTACCTGGTACACTATCTCTCCAGTCTCCCTTAAGGTAGATATCTCTATATATACATATATGTATGATTATGTGTATATATATAAATCATATGTATATGAGTATAGAAGAAATTTATTAGAAAGTAGTTTGGGGGGCTGGAGTGATAGCACAGTGGTAGGGCGTTTGCCTTGCACGCAGCCAACATTGCCGACTCGAGTTCGATTCCTCCGCCCCTCTCGGAGAGCCCGGCAAGCTACCGAGAGAATCTCGCCCGCACGGCAGAGCCTGGCAAGCTACCCATGACGTACTCGATATGCCAAACACAGTAACAACGAGTCTTATGATGGAGACATTACTGGGCCCGCTCGAGCAAATTGGTGAACAACGAGAGGACTGTGACTGTGACTGTGAGTTTGGGGGGCAGTAGCAAAACTGGGGACATTGGTGAAGGGACTGATATTAGGACACTATATACCTGACACTTAATCATAAATAACTTCGTAATGTTGTAATTCATGGTGATTCAATTTAAAAAAGTAGTATGCAATATATAATATACAGTTTGATGTGTCTTTACTTTCTTAAAGAAATATATTTTAAACGCAGAAATATACAAAGAATAATATAACAGGATGAATATATTTCTGTCAAACAGCTTTCTCAGAATTAAAAATTTTGGCTTATTTGCCTGTTCGGTGCTCCAAAAGAGGTGACTATGCTCTGGATTCTCATTCCCCTGACTACCTCCTCGTTGCAGATGTAACAGTTCACTCAGTTTTATGTTTACCTAGGTCTGTTTCCTGGGTAAGAGAACCTTGAACCCTCAGAAATATATTTATTTGGGGCTGGAGTGATGGGGGTAGGGCAATTGCCTTGCACATGGCTGACGTGATTCCCGGCATCCCATATGGTCCCCTGAGCACCGCTAGAAGTAATTTATGTCTGTCGGGCCATTCTCGGTGGTGTTCAGGGGTTGCTCATGGCAGTGCTAGGGGATTATGCGGGATCGAACTCAGCTTCTCACCTGCAAAACACATGCACTAGCCCTTTAAGCCATCTTGTGGCCTTCATTAGTACATTTACTATGCATGTATTGTCTTTTTATATCTTTTCAATCTTACTTTGCAGGGTCACATTATACAGAACTGTCTTTCTCGGACTTGCCCTTATTGCTCTATTCTGCTTTTGAGATTTACATGCCTTTTTTTAAATACATGTAACAGTAGCTCATTCATGTTAAGTACTAATTTATTTATTTACTGATCCATTGGTAAACACTTACACCACTTCTGTTTGCATTGCCATTATTCATGATATCCAAAAACCATTTTGACCTAGGTTTCATTAACATATGCATTGATGCCTGGTTTTTTAAACTGGGGGTTCTGTACCCCACATGGGGTTGTGAATGGGAGGGCACAACAAACTTGGCAACAGTCATAGGTTTCCAGAGGCACAATGACCAGACATTGATCCAAGATTATCCGCATCACGAATCCAAGGTATTTCTGGCAGCGCTGGCCTGGTTGCCTCTTTTGGATACAAAGGGGTCATGAGTGGAAAAGTTTCAATGGTCCTGCTTTAGTGTACTTACCCAAGAGTGGAACTGCTTTTTACTCGAGCTATGAATATCTTTAAATTTATTAGATTGTTCCGTTTTGCTCTGCACAGACAAGCTCTATTAATAATGATGTATCAAGGTCGCCACTCCCTTATCACCCTCTATGGTCCAACTTAGTACCATGCAGGAACACCTCAAGTGGTGCAGTTCTCATAGGCTCACGTTTCAGTGGATTCAGTTCCTTCTGAGAAAGGGACAGTCTAAATGCAGAACTCACGAGAATCTTAGTCTGTCATCTCAATTTACACTTCTACTTAGATTAAACAAATACTGTCTATTGGATTGTCACATATTTGCAAATCATATCAGGTTCTTTCTCCTTTGTATTGCCTTAATATTCTTTGCCCATTTTTCTCTCTTGAGTTGTGATGCTCTGGGCTTACTCCTGGCTCTGTGCTCAGGGATCACTCCTGGTGGGCTTGAAGGACCATATGGGATGCTGGGGACTGAACCTGGGTTAGCCACATGCAAGAGAAATGTTCTATCACTTCATTTTTTTGTATTTTTTTAAAGTCTTTTAAATTTTCTTTGTGGTGTTACCTGTCAAATGCAGGACCCACTCATGCAAGACACAGTCTCACAAGTCATTGAGCCTCACCTCTTGGTGATTTTTACCTTGCTGACTTGTGCTGTTATTTAGAAATCCTGATTACAAATCACTTTTGATTTTCTGAACCTTTTCCAGATCCTGGTTTGTGTTTCAACTTTGTATGATATCTTATGTTTGAACACATAATTTTAATTTTGTGTGGTTAGAGTTATCATTTCTTTGTGCTTTGTGTTAAGGTCACATTGGGTGGGTGCTTGGGGCATCTGGCTCTGCACTCAGGAATTGTCACTCATGGGGTCTGGCAGGGTCCAGCTGGGGTACCAGGGATCAAACCCAGGTTGGCTGCATGCAAGGCAAGTACTCTGCCCGCTGTATTGTCTCTCCAGCCCTCTTCATGTTTGTTTGCTTTTGGGTCACACCTAGCTCCACATTAAGGAATTATTCCCGGTGGTGCTCTGGGGACCATATAAGGTGCTAGGGATCGTACCCAGGTCAGTCATGTGTAAGGCAAATTCCCTACCTGCTGTATTATAGCTCTAGTCCCCCCTTTAACTCTCTCTCTCTCTCTCTCTCTCTCTCTCTCTCTCTCTCTCTCTCCTCCCATTGTTCATCGATTTGCTCGAGCGGGCCCAGTAACATCTCCATTGTGAGACTTCTTGTTACTGTGTTTGGCATATTGAATACTCTCGGTAGCTTGCCAGGCTCTCTGAGAGGGGCGGAGGAATCGAACCCAGCTCGGCCGGGCTGGCTGCGCGCAAGGCAAACGCCCTACCGCTGTGCTATCACTCCAGCCCTTTAACTAGCTTTTTTTTTTTTCTTTTTAGATCACACCCGGCGATTCACAGGGGTTACTCCTGACTCTTCACTCAGGAATTACTCCTGGAGGTGCTCGGGGGGACCATATGGGATGCTGCGAATCGAACCCAGTTCGGCAGCGTGCAAGGCAAACGCCCTATCTGCTGTGTTATTGCTCCAGCACCATAGTTTTTACTGAAAAACAGATAATAACTTACTAATTGCAGGGCAAATTAGGTATTTTCGGAGACTGACCAAGAGGAATACATAAGGCCTAAGAGTAAGACAGGGCCACAGTGAAGCAGTGATGACAGGATTGAGAGCAGAGGGAACAAATATGAGTTTTGAAGTGGACATGGATGGCGAAAGGCAGAATATAGTCAGAGCAAAGCCAGAGCAGGGGGTGGATGTGCAGGCAGGGCCTGACCGAAGGGCCCCTTACCTGCATTTGAATGTCCCTGGAATTGATCACTTCCACAATGCCTACCACATTGTCAAACACAAGGCCAAACTTCTTACAGTTGTCTAGGAGAAAGACAGAAAACCCGCACTAAGCATATGCAGCATGCTCAGGCAAAGTACATCTCATGGTTAACTTGAGAGCTTAGTTGGGTCCTACCGATTGTAATGGAATTCACTTTCCCCTTGATCTGCAGGGTAGACTTGTTGCACTGGAAAACGTAAGCCACTTGTTTCAGTTCTGTCTCTGAAATCACCAGGTCATTCCTGTCCTCTTGGTACTCCTGAAATTAAGACACGCAAATATTAGATATAAGGCTGGGGAGATCAATCCATGGCGCACTGGAATCACTAGCGACTTCCTGTACGGAGCTAAGAATTCAAATATCCTTTCTATGTTCTTTCTTTCCTTTCCAAGTCGGGGTTCAAGCCACACCAGGCACTGCTCAAGGCCTACTCCTAGTCACGTGAAGGGCTGGTTGTGAGCAGTACCTCACGCCTGTGCTCCAGGCCAGAGCTTCATTTTGACGAGATGACAGATGGAGATGACCGCTACCCAACAGTATGGAGATACTTAACACTATGGAAATGGATGTGTAAAAGTAAAGATGGTAGATTTCATGTGGTGTATATTCTGCCACGATTAAAACAATTTTTTTTCATAATGGCCTAGGAGGACTAGTCAATGGTGGGTCAATGATGTGGGAGATGGAGGGTAGTTAAGATAGAGGAGGGTCCACTATGAATTGTCATGAATACTAGTTGGAAATGATCACTCTGGACAAGAACTAAGTCTTGAAAGCAGGTACAGGTTATAGATGATAAGCTTTCTGCATCTGTATCACAAACCATAATGCCTAAAATGTGAGAGAGAGAGAGAGACAGAGACAGAGACAGAGAGACAAAGAGACAGAGACAGAGAGAGAGACAAAGAGACAGAGAGATGAGAGGTGCCTGCCATAGAGGCAGGCTGGGGTGAGGGTTAGCTTGAAGGGACGGGAGGGAAACAGGGAACACTGGTGCTGGGAAATTAGGGATGGGTGTTGGAACACTGTATGACTAAAATGCAATTATGCACATTTTTGTAATGTTCTATCTCATGGTGATTCAATTAAAAATTTTTTTTGTGGGGGGTCTGGAGGGATAGTACAGCAGATGGGATGTTTGCCTTGCAATTGGCCAAGCAGGATTGGATCCCCAGCATCCCATCTCCTGAGTATCACCAGGAGTAATTTCTGAGTGCACCTCCAAGAATAACCCTTGAGCACTGCCGGGTATAACCCAAAAACAGGGGGAAAAACCAATTTTTTTTCAAGTTGTAGAAAAGTAGAAATAATGGAAAACAACAACAAAAACCCTTGAAAGAAGCTTTCAGAAATGGCTTTTGTCCTAGCTGGTGCTACTGGCCTCTGTCATGCTACTCAGAAAACTCTCCCACTGTGATAAACCTTGGCTCAGCCATCGCTCATTGGCTGGCGCATGTCAGGAGGGAAGGCCAAAGGTGTCACTCACGACTCGCCACTTCTTTCCTTCCAACTCGAGCACCGGAGCATGTTTCTGAGGAGGCTGGGAGTGGGGCGCCGAGGGAGCAGCTGTGCGGCTTTTGGTTGGCGAGGGCGTCTGGGCCCGGAGACTGGGATTCTTATGTGTCTTCTGCTCGTCAGTGACGTGCCGGAGTCCTGGGACGGGAACACAGACACAGTTTTGGGAACACAGACACAGTTTTTAAAATCTTATGCCACAATTAATGTCCCTCACTTCTAGGGTTAATGGGGTGTCAAGAGCACTAGAAATTTTGGAAACCATCTCTTCATACCTGCCTACTGTTTTCTTGAGGTTTCTGGGGGGCGAGTTTGCGACCTGTGTAGGTTTTTTTTTCCTTTTTGGTCACACCCAGAGATGCACGGGGGTTACTCCTGGCTCTGCACTCAGGAATTACTCCTGGCAGTGCTCAGAGGACCATATGGGATGCTGGGAATCGAACCCGGGTCGACTGTGTGCAAGGCAAACGCCCTACCACTGTGCTGTTGCTGCAGCCCCTACCTGTGTAAGTTTGGAGTGAATAGAAACAACCGATGTGTGTTTTCAAGTGAAGAGTCTCTATGTTTTGTTTTTGGGGCCACACTTGGCAGAGCTCTGAACTTACTCCTTGCTCTGCACTCAGGGATCACTCCAGGTGGGGCTTGGAGACCCCATGAGGTGCTGAGGATCAAACCTGGATTGGTCTCATGCAAGGAAAGTGTCTTACATGTTGTACTCTCTCTGCGGCCCCGAGGAATCTCTTCTTAAAGGGGGTAAAATGACGGATTAGAATTCTGCATGGGGGTGTCGGAGTGATAGCACAACAGGTAGGGTAATTGCCTTGCACACAGCTGGCCTGGGTTCAATCCCTGGCATCCCATCTGGTCCCCCAATCACCGCCAGGAGTAATTCCTGAGTGCAGAGCCAGGAGTAACCCCTGATCATCGCTGGGTGTGACCCAAAAAAGCAAAAGCAAAACAAAACAAAACAAAAATACGCTGGCTTCCTGCTTGCAAAGTGTGGACTCCAGTGTAAAAAAAGAAAAAAATTCTGCATGGGACTGGAGAGATAGTACAGCAGGTAAGGTGCTTGCCTTGCATGCAGCCAACCAGGCTTCAGTGTTCTGGACCCCATATGTTCCCCTCAGCCTGTCAAGATCAATTCCTGAGATCAGGGCCTGGACGAAGCCCTGAGCATAGTTGGGCAAGACCCCAAAATTAAAAAAATTAATCAACCAATTTTACAAAAAAGGCCCTCCCGTTGATCGTCGATTTGCTCGAGCGGGCCCAGTAACGTCTCCATTGGAGACTTTGTTGTTACTGTGTCTGGCATATCGAATACTCTGGGTAGCTTGCCGGGCTCTCCGAGAGGGGCGGAGGAATCGAACTCGGGTCGGCCATGTTGGCCGCGTGTAAGGCAAACGCCCTACCCGCTGTGCTATCGCTCCAGCCCAAAAAAACCAAAAAACACAAAAAGCAAAAAACAAAAAACACACACAAAAACAAAACCATCAAATAAATAAAATTTCACAAAAGCAAACATCTCATTCAAAAGGTCCATGTGATTTACTTCCTGAATGATGAGATCAACCCCCAAATGCAGCCCTGAAGGTCAGTCAATTCCATAGTCCAACAGTAAGTATATGCTGGAGTATAGAGTTGACATGGGTTACGAGTTCACATCCCCACTTTGCAGATGAGGGGCTATCACAGCCAATCGGAGGCAGAGAAAAATTGTAAATCTGGGTTTCTGGCTCTCAGCCCAAAGTCCAAGGACACCTACACCATCATTCCATCATTCCATTACCAGTAAGCATTGAAGCTGTATTTGCATAAAGCTGCTGGCAATCTGATTTTGTAGTTTTGAATGCAAACTACATTTCAGGCTATGTTTTAAGTGTGATTTATTTATATATTTCTTCATTTATTTTGTAGGCTGGAAACGAAGCCCAGGGTCTCCCACAGGCCAGGTAGGTGCATTACCACTGAGCCACACTCCCGGCCGATTTTGTTGGTTAGTTGGTTTGTTTTGGGGCCAACACTGAGTGATGCTCAGAGCTTACTTTTGGTTCTGCACTCAGGAATCACTCCTGGTGGGGCTTGGGGCACCATATGGGATGCCGGGGATCGAATCTGGGTCCACCACATACAAGTTGCCTTACATACTATCACTCTGGCCCCCTGAGTTTGCTTTTTCATGAACCTTCACCCCGAGGGAAAGAAAGAATGAATGAGTGAAAGAAAGAAAGAAAGAACGAAAGAAAGAAAGAAAGAAAGAAAGAAAGAAAGAAAGAAGAATCTTTGAAAGTGATCTAATTATCTGACAAGCCTGGACATGGTCTGAAGACAGAGGTACTGCTGTTTGTCACTTTTTTTTTCTTTTTGGGTCACACTTGGCGATGCACAGGGGTTCCTCCTGGCTCTGCACTCAGGAATTACTCCTGGAAGTGCTCGGGGGACCATATGGGATGCTGGGAATTGAATCCAGGTTGGTCTTGTGCAAGGCAAAAGCCCTACCTGCTGTGCTATTGCACCAGGTGTTTGTCACTTTGAGGGACTGGATTGTGAGGCCTCAGTTTTAGGTGGTGATGAGGCTGAAAGGCTGATGTGGTTCACTCAGAACCCGGAGTCTGGGGGCTGGAATGATAATACAGCAGGTAGGGTGCTTGCCTTGCACAGGGCCAATGCAGGCATCCCATACTGTCCCCCAGGACCACCAGGATTAATGCCTCAGCTCAGAACCAGGAATTAACTCCAGAGCATCATTGAGTGTGATTAAAAAAAAAAAAAGAACCAAAGTCTGATCCACGCAATAGCCCTTGGGGGCTTATCGAGCTCAAGCTGACATGCAGGCACAGCTTCCGGTGTGTCACAGGAGGAAGGGATACTCAGCACCGCAGGCTCTGGGCTCTGTGCATGCTCTGAGCTGGAAGGGGGACACGGTCATGGTGGCTTCCTCACCTTTTGTGATGGCTTCCCCTTGGTTGAGCTGGGCAAATAGAGCTGAGCGTGAAGGAGAGGACGGCTCCTTGCGTGGTTCTTCGTTGTCAAAAAGTGGAGGTGGCCCAGGAGGAGGTGGAGGAGGAGGAGGGGGAGGCGGGGCAGGCCCCAGGCAGAGAACTGGGGAGGAGGCGCTCGATGCCACTGGCCCCTGTGGGAGAGAGAAGACACGGCATGGAGAAGGGCGCCCTGGCCAGGAACCGGGCTGCTACCGAAAGAGGGAGTTCCAGACTGACACCTGGCACCTGGGGGGTGGCGCACTGGGTCTGCCTACAAGGACTTGGGTGATGGGGGTTAGAGGCAGGATCTGCTTTGAAAACGGAGAGCAACTAAGTCTTCCAGCCAGGCCCATAGAAAGTGCACGTCCGGGTTTCATGGTGCCAACCCAGGGCAAGCCACGGCATTTCTGCCCACCACTATTCTCCAACAGTCCAGAGGAGAATAAGCTGCCCTGTGGGCTGCAGAGAATCGTAACTGGTAGGAGGATTCGCCCATTGGGAATTGCAGCTGCCGGAGAGAGAGGTACATACTCTTGGTGATGAAACAGCAGATAGAAATAAAAGCTTTGAACCTTTTTTTTTTTTTTGATCGCTACAAAAAGAGATCCGGAAAGTCTGAAGCTTCTGGCCAATGCTGCAGGCTTCAAACAACTGACTCCCATGCCAGGATGAGCTGAGGTCTCAACGGAGCCACCCCTGCAGACAATCGAGTTCCAAGGCCCCTCTGATGGGTTGGTTCTGCCAATCCTGACCGCTCATGAACCTATGACACCCCAGAGTTCTGAGCAAGATTGGGGCTTGCTCTTACTTTTCCTGCTCTGTGAGGTGCAACCTTTGTGTTCAACGTGAAGATCAAACAAATTAGAATGGTAGTAAAAGGCAATGGGCAATAAAGGGATTTTTTTGTTTGTTTATTGTGTGTGTGTGTGTGTGTGTGTGTGTGTGTGTGTGTGTGTTTCTCGGAGGGTCTCTCCAGGGATCCTCAGACAAATCAGGCTGGTGGTTCAATACAAGGACTACAGGGTGTTTGAATCCTGCAGTGCTGGTGTTTTTCTGGGCTGTCCCAGTGGTGCTGTACTGGGATTCGGACCCGGGCCACCTGTGTGTTGGGCATGCATCGCAACACTCTAATATCCCCTGACCTCTAGGGGCTTCTGTTTCAAAGGATCCTATTTAGTGAAGTTCTCAGAGAGCTAACAGACGTGTCAGAAATGCACACAGACAACAGATTCTGGTTATAAGCCACTTCACTGTGAATCCCTGAAGTAGGACATGATTCCCGAATAAGGAGCTGTGAGCTGAGTGCAATGAAAAGTAATCCAGAGAGGCCGGAGAGACAGAACGGCGCTATCAGACTAATTCAGATTTAATCCCCGGCACCCCATAGGGTCTCCTGAGCACCGGCCAGGAGTAATTCCTGAGTGCAGAGGCAGGACTAGCCCCTGAGCATCTCCAGGCATGGCCCCATACAAACAAACAAAAATCCAGAAATGTAAAACACTGAGAGCGATGGAAAAGTGACAACAGGGCCCCATGTTTTCAGCACTGAACAACGGGACTAAGCATTAGATAAAGGTTAATTAATTCATTCTATAACGTATCACTATCAGGAAGTTTTTCTGGGGGGTGCTTTTTGGGTTACATCCAGAGATGCTCAGAAGTTACTCCTGGCTCTGCACTCAGGAATTACTCCTGGTGGTACTCAGGGGACCAAATGGGATGCTAGGAATTGAACCTGGGTCAGCTACATGCAAGGCAAATGCCCTACTTGCTGTTGCTCCAGCCCCAGAAAGCTTTTTCAACTGTAGTCCATTTTCCAAGAAAAAGGAAAAAAAAGCCATTTTCAAAGTACTTCTGTATCCCTATTAAGTAAAGAACTACTTAGCAAATAAAGAGATGCTGGTGTTAAAAGCAGAGCGGGTTGGAGGCCTGGCCTGCTGAAAATGGAATCTGTTGTTTTGTTTCTAAGACCAGCGTGACTCTATCTATCATGATTCTCAGGTCAAGTAGAAAATGACTGCACCATTTATTTTGGAAGCTGAGCCATTCCCCCCCCCTCTCTCCCCAGTTATCTTCATTGTTTTCCATTATGTTCCTTGGGTGAAATTCTAGAATTTGCTCTAAAGCAAAAAGATCAGCTCATCTCCGCATTGCACACGAAACAATACTGCAGCCATGGAAAGCTACACAAGCTGACTCCTGCTGCTAAGTGCATCCCCATAATATCCAGAGAAGAAACAGGCCCCCACTCCCGTTGAAACACTGCAGTTTCACCCAGCTCCTATTCTGAGGAAAGAAGAGACAAGCCTGACTTCTCCATGGTAGTTGAATCCAGTTCCCTTGCTCTCAGAATACAAAGCTAGGGGCTGGAGTGCTAGTCCAGCGGGTAAGGCGTCTGCTTTGCATGCACCCGAGGTGGGTTCAATCTCCGGCAACCCTTTGCCTGGGCACCACTAGGAATGATTATTGAGTGCAGAGTCAGGAGTGAGGGGTGACTCCCGAGCACGGGTGTGACTCCAAAACTGGAAAAAAAACAATGAAAGAATCCAGAGCTATTCTCTTTAAGTTCCATGAGCAGACATTGAAACCAACAAGCCATTGATCCAATGTTTCAGAACTTTGAAACGTTCTGACGGCTGGTCGGGGGCCCCAGACCCAAGAATTACTGCAACAAATGTTGGAAGTGCAACCCCAGAAAATAAAAAAGAAGCAAACTCAGGATCCCTTTGAAACTCAGTTTCCCACTTCCTTTTTGTACATTCTGGCTCACGCCTACCCCAGGGAGAGCACAAAACGAAGCTCTGGTTTCCAAGGCTACTTTACGATTAGTATTTCAGGGCTCTTCTGTACAGCAGAGGGGAAAGAGACTCACCGGAGACCCCCCAATCAGGGGCTCTGTGGGCAGCCCCCTAAGCTCCCACGAAGCTCTCCTGTCTCTCCCGGTTCTTCCCCCGCCCCCATCCCCCATCGCCCCCCAACCGGTGCTTCCAGCCCAGGATGCCAGGGTTCTCCACATCGTCCCAGGTGCCTGGCCAGGAATCTCCGGCAAACACTCCATCCCAGAAATCCCAAGAAAGACAGAGGGGAGATGGTCAAAGGCGGGAAGGAAGGGAACCAAGAATTCTGGGAAGTCATGCAGGTGCCAAGGAACGTTTCTGTTCATGTACCAGATGTTTTACTGCTCAGAACGGGTCAGGCTCTGGGCCAGGGGTTCTCAGGCTTGTCTGGACTTCAGAGTCATCTGAGGTTCTGAAGTCTGATGTTCTGAAGCCCAAACCCTGCTGCAGAAATGCTCTGTGGGGAGCTGGGACCCAGACGTCCGTTCATCTTTGAAGCCTCTGGGGTTGACTCCTTGTCCAGTACGTGGATAAGTCTGGGAAGGCCAAGAGCTGAAGTGACGTTTAGTCACCACCCCAACATGACTAAAATTGCTGAGATTCCTCTTGCATAGAAAATCAAACCATTATTAAATGACCAGTAAATGGCAGAGGCATAATTCAAGTACATATCTGCTTGGTTCTAAAGTCTTCTTCATGGGGCCGGAGCAATAGAATAGTGGGTAGGGCATTTGCCTTGCACACGGCTGATGTGGGTTCAATCCCCGGTGTCCCATTTGGTCCCCCAAGCACTGCCAGGAGTAATTCCTGAGTGCAGATACAGGAGTAACCCCTGAGCATCACTGGGTGTAACCCAAAAAGCAAAAAAAAAAAAGCCTTCTTCAGGACCATGAGATTATTATTACTATTATATGGTGGGGTTGGGGCCACACCCACTTTGCTCAGGTATTATTTTTAAATTTTATTTTTATAAAGTTGTTCACAATATTTGATTACATTTATTATTCGAACACCAACCCCAGCCCCATTACACTTTTCCATCACTGCATTTCCACCCGAACCCCAAACCCTGTCCCCAAAGCCAAACTAAAATAATTTATTTTGTATTGCTTGTTATGAATGATCAGCTAAAAATGATCCAAGAAACATTTCTTAGAGGAAAGTGTGTGAAGATTGTTGTATTTCACCCAGGAGCCACGAAGCCCTTCTATAAGAGATTAGTAACATGTTATTAAAGGTTGAGCCAGGTTATTTATTTATTTTTATTATTATTTTTGCTTTTTGGGTCACACCCAGCGATGCACAGGGGTTACTCCTGGCTCCTGCACTCAGCAATTAGTCCTGGTGTTGCTCAGGAAACCATATGGGATGCTGGCAATCGAACCCGGGTCGGCCACGTGCAAGGCAAACCCCCTACCTGCTGCGCTATCGCTCCAGCCCTAGGTTATTTATTTTTAAGCATTTATTTGTTTTTTGTTTGTTTTGGGGTCACATCCAGTGGCACTCAGGGGGCAGTTCTGGCTCTGCACTCAGGAACTACTTCTGGTGGCGCTGAGAGGGTCTGGGAGAGCACCTGAACCAACAGTTCCAGATAGGAAGGGTCTGTGCGGGTTCACTGTGGCTGCATTTCACTGACCTGCACTCAGAATTCCCTTCCCGGCACAGAGGTGATGGGGTGAGGTCTTCACCTGCAGAATTCAACCAAGGCATTTAATAAAGGATTTTGGGCGTTTGTCTTGTGTGCAGCCAGCCCGGCCGAGCTGGGTTTGATTCCTCCGCCCCTCTAGGAGAGCCTGGCAAGCTACTGAGAGTATTCAATATGCCAAACTCAGTAGCAAGAAGTCTCACAATGGAGACGTTACTGGGCCCGCTCGAGCAAATCGATGAACAACGGGAGGACAGTGTTTTGTTTTATTATTAAAAGTTACTATGGGGGGGGGGGGGCTACAGCTGGTGGTGCTCCAGGCTTATTCCTGACTTCTGTGTTCAGAGATCACTCCTGGTGATACTTGGGGGAACCCTATGTGGTGCTGGGGATTGAACTACACATCCACATCCAAAGCAAACACTAACAACATGTTACTAATCTCTTATAGAAGGGCTTAATGGCCCCTGGGTGAACTACAACTATCTCTCTGGCCCTCATAAATTATTTTAATCTTTTTGTCTTTCTTTTTTTTGGGGGGGGGAAATACCCAGCAGTTCTCAGGGCTTATTGCTGACTCTGTTCTTGGGAGCACTCTTGGTGGTGCTCAAGGGACCCAATGGGATGCCGGGGATCAAACCCGAGCCTGCCATATGGAAGACAAGCACCG